AGATCCAAGGTTTATAGGGTTGCATGTACACCATAGGAGTGTTAGAATGCTCAAAACCCAACAAAATCTGGACTGTGGACTCGAGTTGACTTCGGTTGACTTTAGGGTTGGGTCAACCATGTGTAATGGAGACCATGGAGGAGTAAAATGGTCTTTTATCCACTTCAAGAATTAGACAGAGAAAGAGAATAGCCTTGGATATGTTTGAGTATGAGTAAGTATTGCTAAGAAATGTTTATCCTATGTGTTAGGCGGAAGCTAGGTCGAGATTTCTGAGTGCGAGGCTGTCGCTTGGTTTCTTTCAAGGTGAGTCTTCTCACTATAATTTACCTGGAACAGTAACTATGTGTGACCGGAAGGTCTTATATGTATTTGTATGAGTTATGTGACTTTATGTGATATGTATATGTTGTATGTTTTGGGACCAGAAGGTCAACAGAGTTAGGGCCGGAAGGCAAATCAGAGTTTGGGGCCGTAAGGCAAGTCATGGTAGGGCCGGAAGGTCTACCAGAGTTGTGGGGCCAGAAGGTCCCACTGAGATACATTGACCGGAAGGTCTTACAGAGTTATAGCCTCGAGTGGCTAATATGTTTATGTGGTATTTTGGGGAACTCACTAAGCTTCGTGCTTACCGTGTTATGTGATATGTGTTTCAGGTTTTCTCAGGTTCGCGGGAAGGCACCGACATGATTGTACACACACACAATTGAGATGGAGTTATGTCATGGATCCTGGATTTGATTCAATGTTTTGAAAACTTTGTTAAACTGATATTTGGTGTTTTAATAATATGACATGTGTTTTATGAGGTTTTAAAAATGAAAAATTGGTTCTAAAATTTACGGTGTTACAATAATTTAGGGTCTTAAGGATTTCGTTCGGATCAGATTGCGAAGTGGAGCCATATTGGTTGTGATTCAAAATGGGTTTGTATGTCGAGAAATCAGATAATGTATTGGATTCCAGGTTTTGAGCTAAGTAGTGATGGTTATCCTTTATTGGTTAAGGCCATCAGGAGCAAGGGTTCATTCGTCTTCAGTATGTGGGTTCTGCTAAGGATGGGTTGATTATTGGAAGGCCATCGTATGTTAGGGTCGACTTTTATGTCAAGGTGTCAGAAGACTATAATACCCTTCTAAGGGTCAACTTAACATTCTAAGTTTAAAATACCCTAAAATGGTCCATTAAGTCACTTATTAAGTTCTTAATTCCAAATTTTATTTTTTATGGTTTCAAAACTTTCCTCATGTTAAAACAAGAATGTAGGCGAAAACCGTGCGGGATTTCGAGTATGGATGAAAACTTTATAACCAAAACAAGTTTGTCCATTGTAACATGACATGAGAGCTCAGGACACGACCCGTGTCAAATCCAGCAGGTCAAAATGGCCAAAATTTCTCTTTTAGACATCTTACTTTGGTCCCAATGCATCCAAACATCCTACAACTTACCCAAATGACTCAAGGAGATTCAAATACATGCTAAAACACTTCAATTGACATAAGAAAGGATCCCCAAAAGGTTCATATTCTTGGAATAAACATAATTTTCCAAATGGGAGACAATTGGGTATATGAAGCTCAAATGGCACCAATTCATTATGTGCTAATGATAAATTGCAACCAACAAGACCAAACATGATTTCTACATCTTAAAACATATGAATTGAGAGGTTGTGAAGATTATCCACTCATTAATTGAGTCCAAGTCTCCATATGAACTTCAATGAAGCCTCCCATTGAGTTATATAGTTATATCCTTACCTTCCATTTCTTATAGTTTTTTGTTTCCTATTAGTCTCGTTTGTTTTTTCACACAAGCCTCCCATTTATTTATTTTCATTCATGCCAATTGCCTATATGTGTGGTTCGGTCTCTGCTTCGCTCGTTTGTTACATTATACGGTGTACACAAGAACAATGCAACCCTAAACCCTAAATACTTACCTCTCTTTTTCTCTCCAGATATCTCTTTCTTACGAACCCTTTGGTAAGAGATCAAAACCTAATAGGTATATATGTATTTATATAGCCAAATGGTATGGGTAGAATCAAATTCCTTTTTGGCTATATATCGAGTTGCATACCGGTTTTTAGAAGGTTTTCGTCTGCTACATATACATGTGATATGATTCCTAGTTTTCTTTTCAAAGTGAAGTTACATTAATGGTCCCTGAAATATTGATCTGTTGCGACACCCAGTCTCTTTTCGATTGTAGTTTTTGAATTTACAAACTCACCCCCTCAAGTCTCCAAATACACCTTCGGGTCATTTTAATAAATTTACTTCACAAATTAATTTAACACCCGTCTATTTCATTTAAATGTAAAACGTGATTTTTAAATATTTATTAAACCCTTATACTTAATTTAAACATGAATAAGTCTCTTTTAATATATTTAAAGTTCAAAATGTCTAATCCAGGGCAATTTTATACTCAACCATTTTTACTGTCCATAATGTCACAAAAGCATTTTAATATGTTGGCAATGATAATTACTAAAAACAATATATTGGAGAATATTTATTATGAAAAATTTGTGAACAACTTTGATTTCAATAATGTTACTAGAGCATAGCGATTCATAAAACTATGTAAAATTATATATTGTATTATTATTGTTTTCTTTTAATTGTTTTTATAATATATATCGGCTTATTGTAATATTAATAAGATTTTCTTATATATAAAAAAAATCATATATAAAATGACATGTTTATTTTCCATACATAACCCTCAAAATCCAAGAGACACCCCTCAGTATATTATATAAAAAGTCATTGGAAATTTTTAATTATAAAATATTAAAGAAAAACCTATAATAATCTTAATTTTATTTTTCAAAATTGGTCTTCTATCACAAAATAACCATCTATATATATAACAAAAAAAGAACCAAGAATTCGCAATATTATTTTTCGGATAAAACTTTTTTTAACCAACAAATTTATTCTACTCCTTAATCTAACACCTAAATTTCACTTATGTCCACAACAGGACTTCAATCTTTGACCTCAAAGAACGAATTCACTTATATATTCAAGCTTGCAAATTTTTCACGAGGTTCTCATAATTTGCATGAGTATGTTTTTTTAGCATATGTTTTTCTTAAAAAATCACATTTTCTAGTGTTTTTTAATAAACTTAGAGAAAACAATTAACAAAAGATGATGATGATGTTATTAAGAATGTGAGAGATTGAAAATTAATGAATATTATTTATTTTAATTTATTTGTGTGTTTGGAATATGGTTGTTAAAAACTTCGTTTTAATTTTAAAATTTTATAATTTTAAGATCCTATAAGTGAAAAATAATCTTGATCATACTATGATCTAGAAACAAAATTTATAGTGAGATTTTAGGATCCAAACTAAGATCTTAAGCTTTTAACTTGATCTGATCCTACCACTTTAGTCTTTATTATATAGTTAAGCCTCAAAAATTTGTCCATATAACTTGAAATCAAGCATCACATTCTGCAAGAAACAAAAAAGCCTCATTAAATATCACCACTTCATCCATTTATCTTGAACTAGGCACGCCTCATTAAATATCACCACTTCATCCATTTATCTTGAACTAGGCACATTCTGCAAGAAACAAAAAAGCCTCATTAAATATCACCACTCATTAAATATCACCACTTCATCCATTTATCTTGAACTAGGCGAACATCATGGTAATCATGTTATTCTCTTTACAATCTTATGTCTTGATTATGATTATCTTTGTTTTTTTTTTTTTTTTTATGTTTTCTTCATAATTTTTACGGTTTATAGCAAGAATATCTAGTTAATATGTTAAAGAGTGGAATAATTCCACCATCAACATCTTAATCAATATCTAGTTATACTAAGGGCAAACCAAATATTTGAAAATAAATTTCAAAAATATTTTATTTTGGTGGATTTTCCAATCATAACCACATCTTCTTATCACCATCTTGCAAAACATAAAATAAGATCTAGATTTTAACGACTTTTGTACATGCAAGATTGGAAAAAAAAACTGAAAAAGAGGAAAACACACACAACGTTTCTGCTAATCATCTCAAGGATACACAAAAGATTTTTCAACATCTTTGAATACAAAAACACTAAATCTAACATCAACAATCACTTCAAACGTAGCATCAAATCCATTTCCATCAAGAAGATACACGTGTTTTTTTCTCCAAATTGGCTTCAAAATGATCCTTTGTCTAAAACCAAGGTCAAAAAAAAAAACCAACAAATTACAAAAGAAAACTCTCTTCATTTCCCTTTTCTCAAACTTACAAGATCAACTAGCAAGTGTTGAAACTTGAAAGCAGCAATTCATCACAAAGCCCACCACCATAATCGTCCTTTTTGTCCCCTTTAGGGCTACTCCCTGAACTGCTATTCGAAAGTGACACAAATGTGGTTTTCTGCAACACCCCAGTTGGAGAAGATCCAAGATTGTTGTTGTTAATGGCGTCCCACATCTCTGAAGATGATGACGCATTCTTGCTATTTACCCCACTGCTAGAAGTTCGATTCAACACTTCACCTAATGGACCCCCCATTGTGTTCCCCCATGAAATGGGTATCCAGTTTGATGCTTGTTTATGAGTGGGGTTAAGATCAAACTCGTGAGATAGACCAAGTGGTGGAACGACAAGTTTCTCTTGAGCTGGTGAGTTTGAAGACGATGAAAAATCTGAAGACGCCATGGGAATAGACATCGAGAGCTGGGTCCAGTCTTGTTTGATTTCTTTTGACCATTCGTTAACAAAACTTGGAAGTGGGTTCGGATTCGGATTCGGATTCGGGGTCGGATTCAGGCTCGGTGCAACCGGATCCATGAAAGAGTTATAGTTCGTCGGAAACATCAGAGTCTCCGACGAGTTTATAGCAGTGAATGGTTGCGATTCTTGTGTCCTGAAATCAATCAATCACGACACCAGTTTGATTTTTGTTTTAAAAAAACTATAGAAAGGAGAAATCGGAAGAGATTTGACGTTTATATTACTACTCACCTGTTGGTGGAAGGATTGTGGTGGTTTGCAGCGGCGGGGGTAGCAATAACGGTGGATGTTCGGCTGCCGGAAACTGGTACAGATGAGGAGGAGGAGACGACGGGACCCACTTTAGCGGGAACGGAGACATTAGCTTGGCCATTTTGGCCTTCCACAGGCTTTCTTGAACGATGTCGGCCTCTGTTGATGTGTCTTTCACAGTATTTCTGATCGGGAACAGCATCTCTAGAGCACCTCCATTTCTTCCCATCGGTTCTCCGGCACCTCCCTGGTTCCGGATCGGTGTTGCCGGAAAATCCCAAATGGAAAGCTCCCCATCCATCTTTAAAAACCCAAAAAACCAACATTAGATTCGAGTATTTTACACGAAAGAGACGAAATCGCCGGAAAAAGTTCTGAAACTACTACTTACAGGAATTGGGGGCGTAAGAGGTTGAAGACGAAGTCGCCGGAAAAAGGAAAGTGTTGAGGGATTTCCGAAGTGGAGTGAGCAAATGCGATGGAACTGGGACATTAGCGACGAAGTATTTGTAGATCAAAGCTTGGTGTTCGAGCTCCATCCATTGAGAAGGTGTAAAAGGCCCTTTATACCTTGAAACCGGCATTTGCATACCTGTTTGTAATCCTCCATAGCCATACCCTGAAACCAAAAACGCCATTAAAATGCGACCTTCAAAATGAAGAAAGGAAAAGACTTGACATTTTGACAAGACTATAACAAAAAATAGTTGCTTCCGAATAACAGGACATAGATAGATCATAGATAGCAATGAAAAGACTTATCAAAGTCTAGGTTTTTTCAGACCACAAATGGCGAAAATGGATATAGAGACAAATGTATAACTTGTTAATGCATGTAGTACAAGTCACTGTAGCACTGGAAAAAGAAATTACCGAGAATCGAAACCTAAAAACATTTCTTGGGCTTGTTCCCTAGGATCCGATTCCCTCACCCCCTAAATTCGACGAAAAAGATTAAAACCCATCAAACACGTACTCATTTTCCGAAAAACCATCTTCCATAGGATCTAATTTAAAGCTAAAAACATCAAGATTTTAGTTTCGTTTACATATTTCCAAGATCACAGACACAACCAGAACAAAACCCAGATACGAAATTGATGGAAGAACACACAGAGAGAGACACGTGTATACGTGTATTTGTCTATGTACCTGTATTTCGAATGTAAGAAGGTGAAGGCTGGTAGAAAGAAAATAGCGAGCTCTGGTTTGCATCTTTAATGGTGGAAGAAGAAGACGAAGAAGAAGAAGAGAAGCTGAGCATATTGTTGGCATCAGTAGCTGAAACTGAAAGGAAAGAATCAGATCTCATCGACATTGTCTTGGTGGGTTGGTCAAAGTAATCAGTTCTTGAAGATTTTGAGGTCCGAAGAAAGAGTTCTTGATCATCAGGAGGGTCCGGGTCGGATCTCTCTTGCTTATTGAACCCAGATCCATTGGTTTTTTCGTCGTGATTTAAGAGTTGTGTATTGTGGAAAGGTGTAATTCCAAAATCCATGGTTTTGGAAGTCTTGAATTCTAGAGGGTTTTCATGGAGCTTAAGTGCATTTGAAGCTGATTTTTTGGAAGGTTTGATGGAAGAAGAAAGAAAGTCGGAAGATTTTGGAATGTTGAAGCTGCGGAGAAGACGAAGCTTTGAACAAAAATGGACGGAATTGAAATCTTTAAAAGGGAGATTGAAGTTTAAGATTTCGTTGGAGTCTACTTTGGTTAAATTGTAAAAGAGTCCTTGTAATTTAGTGGTTTTGCAAGTTACACACAATCACACATCATATTTGGATTTGGATTCCAACATATCGGCTTTGAATATTTGATGAAAATTAATAATACCTTCGTATTGTTTTTGTTATTAATTAATTAATAATTGCTACTAGTTGGTTATTAAAATAGATATAACATTGAATATTTGTATTGAATAATGATACAAAAATAACAACAATTATGCCCAAATCCTAAAAAGCCGAAGGGTAAGAACTAAGAAGAGATTGAATCTAGACGGTCTTATGTGTATAAGAAATTATAGATATTGTGCATGCAAAATCAAATATTAAAGATAGATATAAAAGATCTAAAATTGATAAGTAAATATAATTAATTAGGTGGAAAACTCGTTTACTACACGGGTTGATTAAAAAAGATTATATAACAAAGTGTAAACAATAAATATTATTTAAAATAAAATTTTGAAAAAAGAATGAAAAACATATTAATTGCAATTTATTATATTTAATACTTTACATATATAAGTATAAGTATTATGTGACTTTAATTTAAAATTTGAAAAAATTTAGAAATTGACATGTGGATATTATTTTATTTTAAAGATATCACAAAATGACAAGTGTCAAAACTTATGAGAGATTGATGGGTTTTATAATATTTGCCGTTTTCAAAAAAGAAAACCTCGGTGTTTTTGAAAGATTTGGTTGTATATAAGACTTTTTTTCTTTATTTTGAACTGATGAATAGTTCATATAAAAAGGAAAACCCAAGTCAAGAATTTGGGAATTATGTTGATAAAAAAAAAAAACTTAGATAAAATATAATGGTAAATGCCACAAAAATATTATGTTTTTTATGGTTCCAATTTTGACATTATATTTTTAATTCTTAATCAAACATTATATTGAGTTTTGCTTAATAGTGACTATTGCACTCTAATCTTTTCTGTAATTCCTTGCCCTATTATCCGGTTATATTGAGTTAGAAAATAATATTGACATTATATGCTGATGTGACACAAATGTTATATTATCAAATCTTTTTCGATTTTGACACATCATTATAATTTTTTTCAAAAGTCACTATAATATCAATTTATTCCGTTCAAAAATGTTCATCTTAAAGATCTTTTTGTGCAATTATGTAACAAAGATGATTTAGGATTTCAGGAATCATGAACTTACATTGAGACAGAATAGATATACATTTTTTCCAATATGAAAGCCATTTGTAGTGTGAGTCACCTCTTGCTATGGAGTCTCATTTGAAAGCACATTGAGTTGTAGTTATCACGATATAAGCAAACATATTATAACAAAATGGAAGCGTATTAATATCAAGAACTTGATGTATTATCATGTATATATTCATGAACCTAAGATCGTCGATGTGCATCCCTAAAAAGATAAAAGACTTGATAATGAGGGTGAGGCAACCAAGAATAGATATACATTTTTTCCAGTATGAAAGTCATTTGTAGTGTGAGTCACCTCTTGCTATGGAGTCTCATTTGAAAGCACATTTAGTTGTAGTTAACACGATATAAGCAAACATATTATAACAAAATGGAAACGTATTAATATCAAGAACTTGATGTATTATCATGTATATATTCATGAACCTAAGATCGTCGATGTGCATCTTTAACAACTTAAATTTTCAAAACAATTTTTTTATTTTTAAAACATACTTTCAATCACACGATAACATAAAAACATAATGTATTCACTGTGTCATAACAAAACATGTCCCAGAATCTCAATAACATAAACTCCATAAGTGTGTACGGATCATGCCGGCGCCTTCCCGCGATCCTCGTTAGTACCTGAAACACATAACATAACAACTGTAAGCATAAATGCTTAGTGAGTTCCCCAAAACACCACATACGCACATACGCCACTCAAGGCTATAAGACCTTACGGTCTCTGTGTCTCAGGGGACTTCCGTCCCACAATCCCGGTAGACCTTCCGGTCCTACCCATAATGACCTTCCGGTCCATATCATCCTGACCTTCCGGTCCACATCATGATGACCTTCCGGTCCTTATCATTCATAACATACATAACACAAATACATATCACATAACAGCATACAGTACATACACCTCATAGCATACAAGACCTTCCGGTCACACATAGGTACCACTCTAGGTACAGTATAGTGAG